GATGCTTTAGGGACAAGTAGGATCATAGACAGGCCTGGAACTCGTAAGTACCCTTCCAAGCTCTGCCACTGAACCTTGGGCACTAGAACCTTGGGCAAGTCTTATCCCCTCTCTTTGCCTCAGTTTTCCCATCTACAAAGCAGGTTGAGATCACTTCATAGCCTGGGATGGCAGTGTTAGCATTCGCTTTATAGCATTAACTTTTATTTATTAGCATTAGATTCTTCTGTGTGGAAAAGTTCACTCAATTCACACATATCCATAAGCATGTCATACAAGGAGTTCCATAGACTGGGAGCTATGACAACAATGTGGGGAAAGCTAGGCTAAGGGGAGAGGGAGGAGATGAAGAGGAACAGCTAAAGCAGAAGTTGGGGAGGGGAGCTGGATAAGCTTGAGTGCTGTTGAGGGACTGAAGGAGTGAGAGAATGGAGATAGGGTAAGGATGAATTGAGAGAGAGAATGGAGAAAGGAGTGGAAGGAAGGGAGGGGCAGACAGAGAAGCAGTGAAAGAGCAAAAGGGATGAGAGAATGGACAGGATGGAGGGAGAAAGCGAAAGAGGTAGAGAGAGGAGAGCTTATGTCCCTCTCTCGGGTTGCAGGCTGGGGGCAAATGGAAGAAACCTTTGTGGCCTCGTCAACAGGGGAAGGCATGGAAATGATTGACATGGTGCAGAGCGAGGATGCACAAAGACTGAGGAATGCAGTGGTGAAGGATTTGCTATTGGATCTGGCCATCTCCCTGAATACAGGCAGCATCATGCTCTTTTTTTTATGCGTGACATAGAACCGGAAATCATTGCCATACTCATGGATGAAGACAATCTGAACATCTACCTGCGTTTCATGATTGCCTACTAGGCAGCAGTGTTTTCCCCCAATGCACACATCCCAGGGAACCTGTGACACCAAATGACAACAGCAGGCACCTTCCCGATCAGCCAGACCTGTCTCATCTTCCAACTCCCTTGAGAACAGCAATAAATCCTCAATCCAAAGCTTGTGTTGGTCTCTTAGAAACTGGACTTGCCCATCTCAGGATCTCCATCCTCTATTTCCACCTACTTTTTATGGCAGAACAGAGTATACATTTCTGGAAAAGAAATTACTGAATGACTTACATATTTCTTAACTAATATTCCAGAGAAAATGTTTTCCTCCTAATTAACAAGGTCTAAAAAGTCAAAATTATAAGAACCAGTTTAAATAATAAAAATAGGTTTGTTGGGGACATAAAAATCTTTTACAGGTTAATTTTAATAAGTCTTATATGTTTTCTATTGGTTATTCTGGTGGATTTTTTAAATAATTAGTTTCTCAAAGTCTATTAAATTATTTTACACATAATTTTAATAATCTGGAAAGATTTTAACAGCTGGGATTGTGCCAAATTTTACTGGCTGGGATGGGATTATTTATTTCTTCTTCTTCGTCTTCTATATCTTCTTCTTTTACATTAGAAATTCAGATTGTGTCCATCCCAAAAGAAACTACAGAGATAGGATAGCTAGAGAAAAGATGACATTATAACAGTCAACAGAGACTGAAGCTGAGCAATTGCAAAGGAAAAGGTTTTTAGATTATTCAAAAGTCCTTGTTTTTATTGAAATCCAGTGAATAATGAACATTTTGGATGAACGTTTTCTACTCCTTCAGCTGAGTTATGGAAGCTCACAATATAGGTATTATGAGATACCACAAGAAGTCCTCTGGGAAGACCATAAAAGCAGGCTGATCTTTCTAAAAGCAAACCCCAACCAGAAAAGAAAACATTACAAAAAATTAGGCTCGCTTTTTATAATGGTAAAGAATCAAAAAAGGAGACAAGCAACCCAAATATAGTGGAGTGAATCAAAATGAGCTGAATTATTCCCAGTATATATCACTCACAATTTATTAGGTCAGGTTATGGAAGGGAATAAATGCAAAGGAGTATTTTTCAGACAGTTTTGAGACAACTGAACTAGGAATTAACAGAACAAAACTGAACAAAGAGGAAAAGTTTGGGTGTGGAATCAATAAAAACTTTAAATGTGACCTGCAAGGGACAGTAACATTGGGCTTGTGCATTTTGTGAGGGACAAAAAAAAGGCCTGCCAAGATCTGTTAAGGTGGCATCCCACTAGCGAACCAGGACTCCAGAGCTAGATCCTGTACAGACACAGAACAAGAATAGCTGTCCCTGAATAACTCCGTGGTTAGTTAAGCAGTAAAATATTCACTTTCTTTTTCTTAATCTTAGAAATATCAGGAAAATAAGAGTCTTGCTTTTCCTGTTTAACTGAAGATCTTTCTTTGGAGACATGGATATGTAGATTCTGAGCTCTCACAGTCCATACTTGAAGGGCAAGATAAGTCCTATGGTCACACTGATTATTCAGGTATTTGACTTAAATAAAGGTTTAAAAAACAAAAGCACCACTGCCAACAACCAAACAAATAATTGAAGTGCACATAAAAATAAATCCCTCTTTCCATCTCAGTTAATAAGGCTTCATTTGCATGATTTCTCTGGAGTAATAATTTTCCCAGTTCTCTGGTAGTCTATATAGGCTTCCAAGAAAAGCATGTCTGACAAGACCTGAATTTCTAATATAAAAAACAAATAGAACAAAAAATACTTGGGAAAAAATGCCAACACTTTCAGAAGGCAAGCAAGCAAACAAAATAAAACAAAAACCCCATAAATGAATTTGTTTCTCATCGAAGTAATCTTAAATGTAATAATAGTAAATTGTTTCGAAAGGAGTCAGTGTGGTGCCGTGGATACCTTGGGTGAAATTCTGCTGTATTGATATTTTAAAAGAGTTTTAGCACTACTTTCAAGGGAGCCTGAGTTTCACCTATGGTTTATTCTCCCATCTCTGCCTTTGACCAGCTGTGTAATCTTGGTTAAGTCATTAGTGGCTGTGGATGTGTCTAGACTACACCTCTCTGTCCACAGACAGATGTAGATTAGGCATGTCAAAATTGCAATGAAGCAGGGATTTAAATATCCCACACCTCATTAGCATAAACATGGCCACCGCTTTTTTTCGAAACAGAGTTTTTTCAAGAAAACGGAAGTCTAGAAGTAGATCTGTCGAAAATAAACCCTTTTTCAACAGATCCTGCATTCCTCAAAAAATGAGGTTTACAGGATCTGTCGAAAAAGGGTTTATTTTTGACAGATCCGCATCTAGACTGCTGTTTTTTAAAAAAAACTCCATTTCGAAAAAAGTGGCGGCCATGTTTATGCGAAAGAGGTGCGGGATATTTAAATCCCTGCTTCATTAGCAATTTCAATGTGCCTAATCTGCCTCTCTGTCGACAGAGGGATGCAGTCTACACGTAGCCTGTGTGCCTAAGTTTCTTCATCGGTAAAATACAAATTATATTGAACCCTCTTTGTGATCAATACATGAAAATCACCAACTCATGTGCTATTATTATATCAAACTTCCAAGGAATACACATTTTGCAACCCTGAAAGCCTGAGAGCTAGAAAATAAAACTGATGAAAAAAAAATGAAACTCACCACTCTATTTTCATTCTCCCATACTGAGTGAACTTTAAAAATCAGTCAATCAGCAGTCACAGTAAACAATACATCTTAAAAACCTATTTCAGTTATATGTTTTTAGTCAAAAGTGTTATTAACAAGTAAGGGATATTTTATTCATGTACATTTTATGTGGCCTTTAATCAGTGAGAATGAAAAGTGGAATAGTCTTTCAAAAGAACTGCCCCTGAAGAATATACTGTGTTGGTCTACACAAGATGCTTGGGGTTTGCCAAGTTTAGTAAATTTTTGGTTTTTTGTTTTTAAAATTCAGGTTGGACCTCCTTGGTCTGGCACACTTGGGACCTGACCAATCCCAATCAAGGAAGTTTGCTGGACTGCGGTTGTGGGGAGGTCAATTCTGGGCCACCTTTGCCATCAGCCCTCCAGCCTGGCTATACGCCTAGCCCCAGCTGGTGTCCCCGGTCACTGGCTCTACTTCCAGCCCCCCGCCTCCAGCCCTGTTGGGCTGCCGGCTCCAGCTAGACTGCTGGATACCAGCCCTGTGGACAACGGCCCCAGCCCTTTCCCTGCTGCCAGATGCTGGCCCTATGGATGCTGGCTCCAGCTCCAGATAAGCTGCCAGATGCTGGCCCCACTGCCACTGGCCCTGGCCTCGAACAGGCAGCCAGATGCTGGCGCCATGGATGCCAGCCCCATGAGCCTCCCAGCCACCAACCCTCCTGCCTTTGAATTCCCAGCTGTCAGGGCTCTCTGGTCCAGGAACATCTGGTCCGTTGTCAGACCAGAGAGTCCAGATTTAGAGAGATCTAACATGTACAGATCTAATTATCAGGGCCTCCAAACTGATTGTTCCTAAAAACAGCCTGAAAACTTAGGAAAATTCTTAAATAACAGTTCTCTTGCTGCTCCTGAAATCTATATCTTTTGCTCTTTGACTCTGAAAAATTGCATTACAATATGATATGTGGTTATAAGGATACTATGTCACTAAAACATAACAGCAGCAAAACTCCCCTGAATAGCAAAAATTCCTGGAAAGCCAGAGATGGGAGAACCTCAACAGCTTGGTATTTGGAGAAACATTCTAAAATCTGGATGGTTAGCCTGACCCCTGGAGACTCCCAGAAACCCTGGAAACAATCTCCTCCTGTCCCACATCTCTCCCAAAACAGGCCCCCGCCTAACTTGGCATCCTTTTGTGAAAGGGAACAATACTTATCTATTGCCTCCATCTGGAGCAACTGGGGGCAATAGAAGAAATCTCTAAGGGTATGTCTACACTACCCTCCTAGTTCGAACTAGGAGGGTAATGTAGGCATACCGCACTTGCAAATGAAGCCCGGGATTTGAATTTCCCGGGCTTCATTTGCATAAGTGGGGAGCCACCATTTTTAAAATCCTGCTGGTTCGAACCCCGTGCAGCGCGGCTACACGGGGTTCGAACTAGGTAGTTCGGACTAGGGTGCCTACTCCGAACTACCAGTACACCTCGTTCGAACTAGCGGGGTAGTGTAGACATACCCTTTCACCTTGGAGTGAGGCACCCAGGCCTGGGGAGGGAGGCATGGGGACAACTTCCCCTGGGCCCAGAAATTCAACAGGGCCTAAGGCTCTTGGCCACAACCACAACTGTGGCTGCAGCATCCAGAGTTCTGGGCCCTTTCAATTGCCACTCGAGTACCATGTGGTGCTCCCCAGAGCAGGGACAGCATGCTCCTGGCAGCTTGGCGGACTGACTTACAAGGGGAGGGAGAGGGTGGGCATGGCATGCTATTGGCAATACTGAGGGCTGGCTGCCCCAGCCCCACTTCTTCCAGGAGTGCTGAGCTGTCTCCCCGCACCCCCAGCTTGCCCAGAGGCCCAGCAAGTCTGCCGGACCCCTGGACCTATAACACCAACCCACATCTCATTGTTTCCTGACTGTGCATGCGCACTACTGGGTTATTCCCCATTCTGAAATCTAAAATTTTGCTTATACTCTACTCTCCCCACAGCCCATCAACATCTCACCCCAAGCTCCTCATTCATTAACCTCCAGGACCTTCTAGGCCACTCACCAGTGTTCTCTCCCCTCCTCAGGGTTTCACTCCTATCCCAGGCCAGGGAGGGATGTTAAATTTCATTGATTCAGCTAATCAAGTAGTCGATGGAATTTCCATTAAATACTCGACTAGTCAATAAGGGGGAAAACTGCAGAGCATGGTTAGCTCCTGGCCACAGGGCTAAACCCGCTCTGGATCTCTCTTTTAAATGTAATAAGAGCCACTAGGCTCCTACTACACTTAAAAGGCAGAGGCGCAGTGGGCAACCCGGTGTGAACCGGGACAGCTGATTCTCAGTTCATGCCCAGTCTCCTGCTGCACCTCTGCCTCTCCTGCCACCTACAGAGATGGTGCTGGGAGGAACCGGTTTTTAAGCCAGCTACCCTCAGCATGAGCTCCTGTCTCCCCCTTCCTGACTCTGACCGAGGCAAGGGGGAGGGAAGCAGGTAGTCACTCAACTACCCAATAAGCCTATGCTACTCGACTAGTTGCTTACTTCCCTACTCCTAACCTTGGCTGGTGGCTGCTCATCAGTTCCTCTCACCTGGTGGTTAGTGGGGACCTGTGTGAAGCCTCATTTTCACACTTACATACCTGGGGACCCCTCCAAGAAAAAGAACATTCTCACTCATCTCTCTCCAACCCATTTTTCATTCTTTTTCTTCTTCCTCCTCTTCCCGTGTTATAAGTATTAGGAAGTAAATGAAAATAAAAATCAGGTAACTTGATAGAAGCAAAGGGTTGGGCTATGGGAGGGGTGAAGGGGTCAGGCTCTGGGAAGAAGTCAGGATGAAGGGAGCAAGCTTTGGCCTGGGTGAAGGATGCGGGAGAGTGTTAGGGGGGTAGTGCTTACCTTGGGTGTCCCCCAAAGCAACCAGCACACCGCTCTGACAGTGGCTCCTAGATGGAGGGGGGGAAGAGCAGGTTCCACTGTGCACTGCTGCCTGCAGGCACCACCCCCATAGTTCCCATTGGTTGCAGTTCCCAGCAATGTGCCAGAGAGCTACACCATCTGGCAGTCCCTCATAGCCTCATGACTGTATGGTCCTGGTGCAACCGCACTACTTGCACAACTGTAGCTACATCACTGCCTCCTGAGATTGCACTCCCTGTCCTGCCCATGCATTGCTTCCCCCATTCCTCTTCTCTAAGGGGTTCCCCTGTTCCAGCCTTTCTTCTCCCTCAGTCACTGCATGCTCTTGCTTTGAGGGAGGAAAAACTTGATCATAGCTGATCTTGTTGCTACAGAAGCCAGTAAGGGGGCGCAGGTAAGACAGAGGAGAGGCAGCTGCTGCATCAAAGGCGTGGTAGCTAGGGTTTGATCAAAAGCCCAGTGAAGTTAATGGGACAGAGCTTTCCGTTCAAGTTGGCACTGGATCAGGCTGCTAGTAGTCAGAGGTGAGAATAACAATGGAGTAGGGCTGGCGGGGGCGTGGAGGGACCCAAACAGGGCAAATCTAAGTTAATTCACAGAACATAAACCTTCCCACTCATATTGTCAGCATTAGGACAGGTGTACAATAACATATCTAAGTGGAGTTTTTAGCAGAACACATTAATTAAATGTCTCACCTTCCCATCAGGAAACAGTAGGCAATGAATCTCTCCCACCATTTACTTTCAGAGTCAGAGATCTGGGTTCTTCTATCCCTGGTGGTCCAGGGTGAGAGGTGGCATGGAGATTTATGAGATTTTCCTCAGAGTTGTTAATGGTTGCAGCCAATCTTCCAACGTTGCAAGCTTGTGTTCTCACTTCCACTTCCCGCGCTCTGACATTTTGCCAAATTGGGGCAGGGCATGGGAGCAGTTGTGGAGTTGCATACACTGTACAGGCTGCTATGTATAGCTCCTTTTCCCTCCTGCTACCTGGATTGGAACATTTGGCCATCATGATCTTCTGGTAGGAGGAAAGGTTGAGAAGAAGGGATGGGCAGGAAGGGGTCAGGTTCCAGCATGTCTCTGTGTAAGAGCAGATCATTCTTCAGCAGGGATGATTTCTCCAGCTCCACTCTTCATACCTCTGCCTGTCTCCCTCTCCCTCTCCTCCTCCATGTTAATTACCAGATGTGGCACTTGCTGGCTGGATTCATTGATGCTGAGCTGGAGCAGTGGAAGTGCCTGGCAAAGTCCTGGCTGTTGCTGAGGGGACCGCGGACACGGAGTGGTAGGGGGCTGTGCAGGTCCCTGTGCAGGAAAGCACGCAGTCTCTCACGGCTCTGGTGACCACACATCCCCTGGCAGGAAACAAAACAAGCATGTCAGCATCTAAGAAAGATCCCAAAGGCTCACTTGCCCCACAGGCCTTCACTAGGCTCTGCAGGGTTCCAGCTTATCATTTTTCCTGGGCAACGTGAGATGAGGGGACAGAGGAGATACAGAAATATGCTGGGCAAGTGTGCCAGAAGAGAGGATGACACTCAGAACTACACCTTCTTCCCTTCACTATTTCTATACTGTTATTTCCTAGTGCCTGGGGAGGCGAAGAGCTCCATCCATACCCATCTGTTCTGTACTCTTCACTATGGGTATGTCTACACTACAGCATTATTTCGAAATATCTAATTTTGAAATAGTTAATTCGAAATAGCTTATTTTGAAATAATGTGTCTACACACAAAATGCATTTCGAAATAGCGTTTTTCTATTTTGAAATAGCGCGTCCACACTGAGTGGACAATGAATCGCATTTAAGGCTGGTTGGAACCAGTTCCATTAGGGCATCAGGTCATAAGTTACTTTGTGACCAAAGTGGCCAGCAGGGCACCCTGGAAAGGGCTGGGGGCCCCCTATTTCGAAATAAGCATCTACACAGCATTTATTTTGAAATAGCAATTTTGAAATAGGCACTATTCCTCGTGGAATGAGGTTTACCAATTTCGAAATAAGCGCTCCACTATTTCGAATTAATTTAGAAATTACGGAATGGCTGTGTATACACTAGAAAAGTTATTTCAAAATAACTGCTGTTATTTTGAAATAACTTTGCTGTGTAGATGTACCCTATATTATTTCAGTGTGTTGATTTAATCACAGTCCCAACAAGGCAGAATTTATGCTGGCTTGCAGGAGAAGCATCCATAGAGCAGGCAGTGCTGTGAATATGCCATTCTTTGGAGAGGAATGTCCAGCCTTTAGTTGGGTGGTTTGCAGGGTCTGGTTCATACTGAACTCATCATTGTTACTGGAAGACCAGTTGCTCACTCTGGTTAATCCAGCCAGCATTCACTGACAGCTGGTCCCACCTCTCTTCTCTACTGCAGACTTTAACAGAGTGACTAAAACTTTTGTAGCCTCAGGACTAGATCACCTTCTTTGGTATTGTTCTCAGGGCTACCCTCAATAAGCATCCTTAAGCTCCAGCTAGTGTGAAATACAGTGTTTCCTGAACCTCCACGAGAACATGACACCAGTGATCTGTGAAGTGCATTTCACTTGAAGCTCAAGAGTTTGTTTATATATAAGCTCTAAATTTGTTAAGAGCTGGGTACCTAAAACTCACTCACTCACTCCATCCATCCATCTACTTGACCCCAGCATCACCAAAATAGTTGATCAGCTCTCTTCCTAACGCCCATTATGGTGGTTGTGCTGGATCACTCTTATTGTCTTTTCCTTCCTGCAAACCTAAATTTCTTGCTTACTCGTCTCAGGTAAGTATATTATCTTCTGATGGGTACGTTAAATATCTTTTTTTTTATCATCATCAGTCATCATAACCAAGGATGCTGAGACACTCCAGGGGCTGCTGCCTTAGGGTGTGTCTAGACTACCTAGTTTTGTCGACAAAAGTGGACTTTTGTCGACAAAACTATACCAGCGTCTACACTACCGCTGAGTTCTGTCGACATAACGTCGACAGAACTCAGCAGTTTTGTCAACGCTGGTAAACCTCATTTTACGAGGCATAACACCTTCTGTCGACAGAACTCTGTTGACAGAAGGTGTTATTGCCTGTAACACTGCGTCCAGACTACGGAGTTCTGTCGACAAAGCAGCTTGCTTTGTCGACAGAACTCAATGTGTCTGGACACTCTTTGTCGACGGAAGTTTTGTCGACAGTATCTGTCGACAAAACTTCCGTCGACAAAACGCGGTAGTCTAGACGTACCCTTAGATAAACCTGGAATGATGGACAGTAGATAGATTTTGTTGTGCTTGGTCCCTCTGACAGTCTATTGCATCGGAGCCCAGTGTAAGGTATATGTCTTCACTCAGGCCTTTGATCAGCATTTAGGGAGCAGCACTGTGAAGGGGTGAAAGATGAGGAGATAGGGAAATGGGGATGATCAGACACAACAACCAGAGAGAGAGAAGAGAGAGAGTGAATGAAAGGAAGAGACATTAAAAGGTTAGGTGGGCTGTCAGAGACAAGATGAACAAAATTAGCGAGGAGTTCATTACATGGGCAAAGCTGATATAGAAGAGCTGATGGTTTGAGAGTCCACTCCTGGGTAAATTCCGCTCCCATTTGTGCTTTTTCAGCCAGTTCTTATAGGCCTGTGGGAAAAGAGAGAGAGAGAAATTAAAATTGAAAAAAAATCTTGGGGGCTACGTCTACACTGGCAGCTTCTTGCATAAGAACTCTTTTGTGTGGGGAGCCCAGGACTGGAATAGCAGGGGCTGCAGGGCAGAGCTGAGGGGCACAGGCAGGGCTGTGAGGGGAGCCCAGGGCTGGGATAGCAGGGATGGGGGGAGATGCAGGGCAGGATTGAGGGGCATGGCAGTGTTGTGTGAAACCACAAGACTAGAACAGCAGATATCTTGTGATACCTGGTAAGCGATGGCGACTCCCCCTATGTCAGCTGCATTCTCCAGCAGAGTGAAAGTGCCATTGACTCTCAGGCCCTGTAGAGAGTAGCCTTCATACTGGTCCACCAGGCAGTCTATACCTTGCACTAATGCTTCCCTGTTGCATCTAGGACAGCTCTCAGGTACCACTGTGAAAAACAAGGAAATCCAGGAAGGTAAACCCAATACCAGGGGATTCTATCATTGCTCTTGTTAGTAATGAACGTGGTCTGGGATTGAGTCTTTTGTAATTAAAAAACCTGCCTGTGCACTATACATGTAAATAGGGAGGAGGGCCTGGAAGAGCTCCCCTAAATTTTCCAGAGGGAACACAGGCCTGTGACAGTGAATAGAGGGAATAGACTGTATTACATGTTACCAGCAATGGTTCTGGGGTACTGGCACAATTTTTTATAGCTGGGATACTGAAAGTGGAAACTGTGTGTTTGATATTACTATTGTAAGCCAGGGATAGCTGCTGCACCCCCAGGACCAATGTTCCCTCTAATCTTTTTTATTTGTGTTTCATGTATATTTCATTTCATCCATATGTGGAACAAATCTTACTATATATTTTAGAAACGTGTGTCTGTCTGTGAGTCCATTTGTTCAAGTACTCCCCCAAAACAGTCAGAGTTAGGACCACCAAATTTGGTATCCAGCTTCCTCTTATCATAACTTAAAGCAAGGGCAGGGTTTGGTTGTGTCAGGACAATGGGATATACCTGGAATGTGACTGTTTCTTAAAAAACGGAAAGGCAGGGGTCTGGTAGAAACAACAGTTATATTGCAGAATGACCATGGGGGTGGGGTAGCAAGGGGACTGGAACAGCTATAATCCCACTGGGGCAGCAGTGGTAAAGGGGGGAGAAAGGGACAGCTATCTACTATATAATTCAGAGTGTTTGTCTGTTTGTATATCTGTTTGAAGTCTTTTCCCATCTGTGCCCACTGCAGTTGTATCAGCCATAGACAGGCACTTCTCAACTGGCCCCAAGCTTCTGCGGTGAGAAAGGGCTGGGGCTGTCCTCTCTCCCTGGGGAAACCTGCATATTGAACCATTCATTCCCAGCTGCATCACAGAACAGTGATTTAAATGAAGAAAAACAAACCTTAAGGACCCGAGCAACGCCAGATAAAATCTTCTAAATTTCATGTTCACTGAGGCATGTGCAATTTTGCCCACCAGTAGAAACATAAAATCCAGCTGTGGATGCACTGCTAATCAGCTGAGTGGCAGTGGAATCTCTCCTAAGTGTCTGTAGAAGCGCACAGGAAACACTGTCCAGCACCTCTACCTCCAGCACCCCTGAATGGTTCACAGTACGCACCATAATCATAGAACACGTGAAGCAGCTCATGTGCCATGATGACTCCCAACGCTCCAAAGTTCACAGCACTGAAAAGCACAAAATGAAAAGTGTGATCAGCGGCTAAGCCTGCAGGAGATTGGGGAAGCCAGGGTTTGTCTATACAGCCCTGCTCTGTCAAGTGTGATTCTACTCTGCCAAGTGACAGTGTAAAACCAGTGCCAGGGGCTGCATCTTATCCTGTCTGTTACTCCAGAGTCACTTATTCAGTAAATGTGCAAGAAAAAGTATGATCCTTCTCTCAGTCAGAACTATAAATCCCGCACAGCTATTCTTACACAGCAATTAAACACTCACAGCTGGCCTGGGTCAGCTGACATGGGGGGGGGAGGGTCTCTGGAGAACTGCAATTTTTTTCTATAGACTTAGGTTTGGGCTTGGGTTGAAGATGAAGCTCTGGGAGAGGCCCCAGCCTGAATCTGAATGTCTACCTAACAAATTTTAGTGCTACAACCTGAGTCGACTGACCTGAGCTAACCACAGCCATTCCGTAATGATAGGGCTGGATGAGGTCCCAGGAGGTCATGTCGTGCAACATCTTCCTCAAAGCAGGACCAACCCCAACTAAATCATCCCATTCAGGGCTTTGTCAGGCCCAGCCTTCCAAACCTTCAGGGATGTAGATTCCACCCCCTCCCTAGGGAACCCATTCCAGTGCTTCACCTTCCTCCAAGGGAAATAGTTTTCCTAATATCCAACCTAGAACTTGAGATCATTACTTCTTGTTCTGCCATCTGTCGCCACTGAGAACAGCCGGGCTCCATCCTCTTTGGAACCTCACACTTCAAGTAGTTGAAGGCTGCTATCAAATCCCCCCTCATTCTTCTCATCTGTAGACTAAATAAACCTGGTTCCCTCAGCCTTTTCTCATAAGTCATGTGCTCCAGACCCCTAATAATTCTTGTTGCCCTCTGCTGGACTCGCTTCAATATGTCCACATCCTTTCTGTAGAGGGAGACTCAAAACTGGATGCAGCATTCCAGATGTGACCTCACCAGTGCTGAATAAAGGGAAATAATCACTTCCCTAGATCTGCTGGCAATGCTCTTACTAAAGCAGCCCAATATGCCTTTAGCCTTCCTGGCTACAAGGGTGCACTGTTGACTCATATCCAGTTTCCTGTTCACTGTAATTCCCAAGTGCTTCTCTGCCAAACTGCTGCTTAGTCAGTCGGGCCCAGCCTATAGCGATGCAGGGGAATCTTCTGCCCTAAGGTCAGGATTCTGCACTCGTCTTTGTTGAACTTCAGATTTCTTTTAACCCAATCCTCCAATTTGTCTAGGTCACTCTGAACCCTATCTCTACACTCCAGCGTGTTTACCTCTCTCTCCAGTTTAGTGTCATCTACGAACTTGCGCAGCCTGAGTCAGCTGACCCAGGCCAGTCACAGACATGCCACAAATTTTTTTATTCTGATATAGACATATCCTGAGAGTCAAGCTGAATTATTTCTAGCTCATACACTTTCATCATTAATAAAGATTCTTCAAATCAATTTCTGCTCTCATTAATTCCTGTGGAATCCTAGTTTTCTTATGTTATGCCAAGTTAGTGACAACTGTGCAACTCCACACTGTGCTGAAGAGTTGCACAAATGGTAACTGAGAGGAAATACAGGTGAACAATTGCAATGGGAGGTTTATTAATAAGTCCGCTAATGATGCACAAGACAGAAAGTAACCTAATCAGGGGTTTCATTGGAAACTCCACCCACAAACCAAATTCCATCCATGTGAAACACCAAAATGAGTCCACTGACAGTCAAATTTATACACTATGATCATCTCTTTCCTTTCTTATCTGCACTGATCAAAAATTAAAAGCAAGGTACATTGATAAGTACTAGAGTTCAGAATTAATATGTCACTGAAATGAATAGGAGTGACTCACATCTATTGCTTTAAGAGTTCTACAGACTTAGTAGACATCACTGCACTGATCATACCCAGTTCACATTGTAAAGGTTATCTGCCTTTGCAACTCGCTAATTTGCTGGCTATTCTGAAAAATCAAAACTAACTTTTGTTTCAGGGTTGACCAAAACTGAAATATTTAATTGTTTTGGCAAACTTGAAAAATATTGCATTTTGCATTTATGAAATGTTCTGTTTTTGAGTTTTTTACAAGTTTATGAAATTAAAGAATTAAATGAAATTAAAGAAAATTTCAAAATGAAAAGCCATTTATAACTGAAAAAATCAAAACTTTGCATTTAAAACTGTAAAACCATAAATGCTTTGATGTGTTTTTTTTTATTATTTATTTATTGCAACTTAAACAATTTGGGGAATTCAAAATGAATTTGTAAAATGTTTTGGTCAACCCCAAACTGTAGTCTTAGAAAAGATCCCTGGATGTCTGACTCCTGAATCCAATGCTCTGTTGGCTCTGCTGGATTAACAGTGGTAACACACTTATTTTCATCACAGTGAATTTAGTCAGCTGAATACAGGGGACAGATCTATTGATTCAGAAGTGACTCGCTCATTAAAAAGCACATAGAAGTATATTTGTCTTGCCATTATTCACTTCAATTGTGCCACAAGTTTTAGGAGTGATCAAGGCACCTGGGGTGCCTAATAAGAATGATTATGTTGATTAAACCACCTGATTAATTTAAACTCATATTATATCCCCGTGTAAGTTCCTATCTTTGTACTATGGAAATATAATGAGTTTGGTATTATTCTCTCTGTATAAACCTTTCTCCAGGAGAAAAAATGGACATCCAGCAATGTTTTATAATGATCTGCCACTCAATGACAACTGGTTGCTCAACAGAGGTGCTCTTATCCTAAGAGAATTGTTGGATGGTTCGCAGGAAAGCACACACACCTCATGATGCAGAAAATGGTTGCTTAGTAGAGGTGGTATTTTTATAAAGAGGGAGCAGAGTTTTCTTGGATCCATTTAAAGACACTTTGGACCATAGATTGCCTAATAAGGATGCTCTCATGTTTCACAGGATTTATTCTTGGAACCAGGGCCGCCAACAAGTGTGTGTGTGGGGGAGCGGGGGAGGAGGGGAGAAAGGGAGCAGTTGCCCCACGGCCCTTTTCCCGGGGCCTTTCTATTTAAAAGGGCCTGGGGCTTTGGTCCACCACCACTGGTGCTATTGCAGCAGCAGTGGTAGTGGCCAGAGGCCCAGGCCCTTTAAATCACCACGGAAGCCTGCATAGTGTAGTCGAAGGAAGCACTGAGGACTGGCTGGGGGAACTGTCCCTACCCCCACCCCTTCTATCAGAGACTACATCTCTTGCAGGGAGAGGGAGTCTGCTGCTAAGCTCCACCCCCCACCACTGCCCAGGGCATGGCAAAATCTGTTGCCAGCCCTGTTTGGAAGATAGAAAATTATATAACCCCATCTTTGAATGAGTCAAAATAGAGGTGGGCTCAGGAACAACGTTCCCTCTAAGCTGTGCACCTGTGCAGCCGTGCACTAAAAAATGTAGGTCCACCCACGTCATTTTAAGAGTGAAGCAGCAGCACTCACCACTCACCTTCCTGCTGGAACAGAAGGTGAGTGGCGACGGTGACAGCCTGGTGGGGGTGGGTGGAGGGTGGGTCTGGCTGCAGGCAGCTGCCCTTTTGCTCTGCCTGGAGCCAGGGCACAGGAGGTGAGGCTGTTCCAGTGAGGCTGCCCCAGCTGGAATGGGCCTCATGTGGCTGCTGCTTTACTCCAGCTGGAGCTGGAGCCGGGGGCCACCCACGGTGCTATTTTTAGTACCGAGATCCCACAAGGACCAGGACTGTGGTACTGAAAATAGCACCATGGGCAGCCTCTGCCACAGTCCCAGCATGCGGTCCCACTCTGGGAGCAGCTGGGGCCATGGTTGTGGGGGGTTCTGCGACTGGGACCACAGTACTAAAAATAGCACCATTGCCCTGGCCCCTGAAGCCCCTGCAAACTGCTTTCCACATCAAAGGTAGAAAGTTAGGGAAGGGGCAGGGAAAGAACTAAGGGGAAGGTGGGTGAAGAGAGGAAGGGGCTTGTGCTGTGGAGGCCAGGGCAGGACAAGAAAAGGGAAATCACCAAGGGGCAGGGTAGAGGAGAGACAAATGCCAGGGAGCCAAAAAGAGACCATCAGGAAAAGGGCAGGAGGGGGGTACAGGAGGGAAGGTTTCATTGGGGGTGTGAGAAGGGAGGGGACAGGGTGATGCTGAGGGAAGGGAGGATCAATGTGGACATGAGAGAGGAAGAGGACAGGGGAGGAGTGGGTGCCAGGAGAAGAGGGTTTGAAAGGAGAGTGGGCATGAGAAAGGCAGGGGATGAAGCAAGTCATATGTGAGGACACAGAAGGATATGAGGGGAACTGGGGCAGAGGGTGGCGAGGGGGTGGGCACAAGGGAGAAAGAAGGCAAGGCAAGCCAAGGCAGTGAGGGAAGGAGAAGGCATCAGGAAGATGCAGGGGTAAGGGAAATTACAGGTGCCAGGGGATTGTAGAGGTGAAGCAGAAGGGCAGACATGGGGATGGGAGGGACGGGCAGGTGAGTAGAAGGGGTGCTAGGAGAGGGGATGTGAGGGTAGCTACAGATGATCAGAGTGGGGCTAAAGGAGGCATGGGCACAGGAGGAGGAAAAGGGTAGGTGCAGGGGTCAAGAAGGATGGGGAGGAAGACAGGTCCCCAAAGGGCTGAGGGGAATGACAAGGGCAGGAGCCAGGATAGCAGAGAAGGGTGAGGGGTGGGGAGGAGTAGGCACCAGGGGAGCAGATGGAGGGAGGGGAGGGTGGGAGACATGGCAGTGGAGGGAAAAGGGAGAGGTTTATAAGATATTTATTAATAACTTGGGTGACACAATGGGAGGGTGTCTAGACTACACCTCTCTATCGACAGAGAGATGTAGATTAGGCATGTCGAAATTGCTAATGAAGCAGGGATTTAAATATCCCGTGCCTCATTAGCATAAACCCGGCCACAGCTTTTTCTGAAATGGAGTTTTTTCGAAAAAAATGGTAGTCTAGACGCAGATCTGTAGAAAATAAAGCCTTTTTCGACAGATCCTGTAAACCTCATTTTTTGAGGACTATAGGATCTGTCGAAAAAGGGTTTATTTTCGACAGATCCGCGTCTAGACTGCTGTTTTTTCCGAAAAAACTCCATTTAGAAAAAAAGCAGCATCCAAGTTTATGCTAATGAGGCACGGGATATGTAAATCCCGGCTTCATTCGCAATTTTGGCGTGCTTGATTTGCATTCTTCTGTCGACAGAGGGATTCAGTCTAGATGTAGCCTGGCACACACTGAACATGACCTCAATACTAGTGCACAAGACAAAACTCACTCCATTCATGGGTGGAAAATCTAGAGGGAACGCTGCTCAGGAACTGTTTTCTTTGTAGCCTGTATTGATGAGCTTCATGTCTTTTTTCCTGGTGCTCCATTACATGGTGTCTGCGAGAGCCAGGAAAATTGCCAGCCCAAGTCTATGGGTAAGAGCCTTAGGCGGCTCAGTGACAGAAGAGAGATGGCTTATCTCAGTCATACATGGAAAGGACTTAGGCTTTGAGTTTGCTTTCAATGAAGCTTGTGGCCAATTTCCCACTGACTTAAGTCAGAGCAGGCCCCCACTCTCTCCCCTTATTCAGTGAGCTAGGGTGCTGGAAACCCAGCATGCCAAAGGAGCAAGGTTCATACTGGTGGCATTGCAGCTCCTCAGTACCTTGGGAACTCGGTGTGGAAGAACGGGCTGCGGAACATTCCTGCAGGGAAGACCACGGCATGGTGCCTCAGCGAGTAGTAGGAATCTACAGACCAAGGGGAGACCTCCCAACTAGAAGCAAAAAACAAAGGAGAGAGAACATCTGCTATCAAAAGCTTGGGAACTTCTGATCTCTCTCCCTGCAGGGTCTATGTGGGAATTGCGGTGACACAGAGAAAGGACTCCCCAGGGCAATCCCATACAGAGAAAAGACAGAGCTGGAGGCTCACATGATTCAGATGTTTGTGTGCTCTGCCTTTATTTTTATTTATTAGGCACTTCTCACTGTCCTTAAAAATATTCATGGGTGTACCTTTCCCACAATGCTATCAGATAGGCCAGTGCTAATAGCCTCATTTTACAGAATGGCTAAGAGACTTGCCTGAGGTCACAGAGGCAGTATGTGGCAGAAGAGGGAAATGAACCCAGATTGTCTAACTTTCTGTTCAGTGTACAAGAGCAACCTTCCCTCCACTGTCTTGGCTCACTCCCATGTGATATCTCAAATCCTCTTGTTTTTGTGGTATCTTCTGTATCCTATCAACTGTGCCTGTACACCCTTTGCACTGCCTTTATACATCCTCTAACCCCGTGGTCACCAACCAGTAGATCGCGATCTACCGGTAGATCTCGGAGGCTCTAAGAGTAGCTCTTGAGCCCTCTCTGAACTGTGCGCCTGCACAGTACATTTACATTAGATTTCCTCATTTGAGGAGCAGCTACTCACCGAGCAACAGCACAGGTGAGTAGCTGTGAGAAATGGTGGGATTTTTTTTTAAAGTAGCAGTATAAGGATTGGGGATAGCAAGTGATGGAGAGGAGGAGAAGAGAGAGGGCGGGGCTTCAAGGAAGGGACGGGGCGGTAGATCTTGTCTTGGTCTGTCATTTAAAAAGTGATCTTGGGTGTAAAAAGGTTGGAGACCACTGCTCTAACCAGTCTACCACACATCATTTCCACCATCAGTTGGCCAGCACATACTTATCCTGCAGGTGCGGATGAAGGAGCCTCAGAGAGAAATTTTCCTTCATAGCCTTCAGGCAGGCCACCACATTGAGCAAAAAGGTATTGTCGTGTATCTCCAGCTAAGGAAAGAGAAAGGCAATATGAGTGAGTCTGAAAGGCCACAGAAGTGAGACAGAGCAAGAGAGAGATGAGAATCAGAGAGCGGGTGGGGTGGATCAAAAGAAACAACAGCAAACATGAAAACCGGTTTAATCAAAAACCAAACATTAAATATTCTTTCTTTGCTCTCCCAACCCCCTAAATAGCCATCTGAAGATGTGCAAAAGGTCTATGGGAGATATTATCACAGGCAAAACAGAAATGCCATCCTCAGGGATGAACTGTGCCCCTCCCCCCAATTTCCCCCTTTCCAACAGGAGGAAGAGTAGACAAAGTTGCAGGAGCATTAGCTGGTCCTCCCAGCTTCTCCAGACCCAGCCTCTCTTGAAACAAAACACTGGAGGGAAAGGAGAATGCATGCTGGGTGTATGGAACATACTCTGCTCCCTTCCCCACAGGTGTCCTTGGGTACAGAACAGACATATTACCAATAACAAGATAGTCATGTCTGTTTGTATAACTCACATCCTGGAATTCCTGGTCCATCTCAGCAGTTTGGAGAATACTGTTTGGATAGCCAATTTCCACCTGAAGCTCAGAAACCTTAAATTGTTAAAATAAAATAAAGTAAAATAAAAGATACCTAATCAAGAGGATTCCTTACATGTTGAATGTCCCTATAATGTGTTTCAAGGCAGGGTAAGTAGGACTTACAAATGAGATTGGTAAAAAAAAAATAGAAGTCCTATTTGACTCCTCAGGTAACACATCTCTCCTTATTCCTCTCCTTTCCCAAGTCAGTTGCCCTAAGGCCAAAAGCAGCCCTGCTCTTGTGAAGCCAGTGGAGTTGCAGCTGCTTACACCAGGGCAACTTTGTGGTTTTATATCTCTTGTAGGTGCTCATATATGTTTGCATGTATGCAGCTGTGGGGTTACTTGCAAGCCATGTAACTTTCATGTAATGTTTCAAGTTTTGCACTTTCTTGCAAGCTTTGTAACTTCCAGCTATTGCTTGTACAATCTTTACGCTCTGTAACATTCCATCTTGTGACAAGGGAGTGCATGGGTGTGTGTAAGTGGTGTGAATAGGGTTTGTAAGTGGTGTGAATAGGGTAATGTCTGTGCCTTTGTGGAGAGGAGCCATGAGGCTGCAGAGAGGAGCCAGGGTCTAGGTGGGGACTGATATAATTTTTGCTTGCACTTAAGAAAGGCAAGAAATGGAGATGCCATGAAAATGAAGAGAAGGAATTTAAAAGCATGAAGAAAATGAGATCTGGGTGGGCATCTTGATGATGGACAGAGAAGAACTCAATGTACATGATGGGGCCACTCAGATCAATATAGAGAAGAGAGCATGGAGACCATGGGACATATGATCAGCTCGCCGGCCTGGATTTGTGACTGCAGGCAGAGACATGAGACCCTCATGCTTAGCCTCTTTTGCTATCTCTGTGCAACTCGTCACTTGTGTAAGTGTATGTGCATGTGTTAAGGAGTTCCATTCCCTTTTCTCTTGATCCCATAGCAGCATTGAATAAATCAGTATAAGTGTAGGTCTCCAGTGAAATCTGGCAACAAGTTTATGACCATGTGGATATGACGGAATATAAGTATACATCTAGAATTGTTAAGTAGATATATAAAAGTGTCAATGTAGGATCATGTGCATGACCAGGCATGTCAAAATATGTTTAGGTGCAGACGCCCTCCCCCCACCTTCTCCAGGGGCTTCTGGGATATAAAGGCCCCTGTGACCGGTGTCTTCCACACATACCTTGTCTTTGACTTCCTGTCGAGTCTGCTCATCCATCCATTCCACCTGATCCAGACGACTGTGGAGTGCATCTCGCACCTCAGAGAACATCCAAAGAGAGACACAGTCAGGGCTACAGAAAAGCAGCTGCTTTGTAGGAAATGCCGTGAAAGGGGAGCAATCAGGGCACATGGTCATTCAGTCCTGGGTTACCCGCTCTCTATGTTCAGAAAATGGAGTCACAGCCCAGCCCTGGTGAGGATCTCTCTTTCCAGGGAGTAAGAAGGGAATTCATTCTTCACGTCCTTTCCACCATGCCATGTCCCTATACACTGCTTCCTCAACAGATCCCTAGCCCTCCCTTGTTCTGTCTCTCTATACCAATGGTCACCAACCGGTAGATCGGGATTTACTGGTAGACCATGGGTGATCCTGACAGGTTTGGCCAAGAGGCGATCAAGTGCTGGCACTTCAGCTGCCCCTCTCCCTGCTGCTGTGCACCTCCTGCCCTTTGCCTTGGAGCTGTCCCCCCCCCCCCCCCCCCCCCAACCCCCCAGGGCCCCTCCTGTTTGCTGTGCAGGGGAGGGAGAAGCGGGTGCTGATGTCAAGGTGCCCCCTCTCCACGCTGCATACTATCTCTACAGAGCAAGGTGGGGGCACAACAGGATTTGGGAGGGAGTTTGCTGGCTGCTTCTGGGAGTGATGCAGGGCTAGGGCAGGGGTGAGCCTGCCTTAACCCCACTGCACCACCACCCAGGAGCCACCTGAGGTAAGCAGGGCCCAGCTGGTGCCCACATCCCTAAATCCTATCGCAGGCATGAACCCCTCCTGCTCCCCAGATCTCTGCCCTAGGCCTGAGCACCCCCCTACATCCTAACACCATCCTAGAGCCTGCACCTACAACCCTCTCTGGCACCCAAAGTGCCTGCCCCAAGCTCAGCTCAGAGCCTCTCTCACATTCCAAATCCCTTAATCCAAGACCAGAGCCTGCACCCCAACCCGCTGTCCCTGTCTGGTGAAAGCGAGGGAAGTTGGGAGAAGGAGGGAGGGAGGATGGAGTGAGCAGGGGTGGGCCTTGGAGAAGAGGCACAAAGGAGGGAGGGCAAAAGTATTTGGGTTTGAGGTAGATCCTGGATTGCACTTCAGTTCAAAGAGTGATCTTGTGCTTAAAAAGGTTGGAGACCACTGCTCTTCCACGAGGCATAAGGCAGCAGTTGACAAAGGCTTCCCCTGTTGACCGATCCACGTCTTAACTCGCGCGCTGGGCCAACGATCAGCTGAGCTGGCACAGCGCAATGGCCATTTTTATTTTAATGAAGCCGAGGATATTTAAATCCCCACTTAATTGACTATGTCGGGTAGCCTATTTTACATGTCTCTGTTGGCAGAGGCATGTAGTCTAGACATACCATTTGATGTGTAGACATACCCCTACTCTGCAGTCTTTGTCTCTGCTTGAATTAAAGAAGAATTCACCATGCACATCCATTTAGTTTGCCTTCTAGTATACAATCTGACCCTCCTCTCTGCTGGTGGTGTCTGAGGGGGGATTCAGTCAGTCAGTTCTGGGCTTCCCTACATGCCACATGCACACAAACACACACCCTGCTCCCACACTGGAACCTATTTTCTGCCCTGGAGGAATCCCAGGAAATACATTTCACTGCTTCTCTTATAAGGAAGAGGAGTGCTAATGCTTGACACTCAATACATGTTGCTCTCCTGTGTCCTTTCCTCTTTCTCTTCTCATCTTCTTTGTTGCTCTTTCCTCTTAAGGTCTCAGTATCTCATTGTCCCATCTCCTTGGATTATTTGTTCATGTCATTTTTCACACATTGCAAACCCTTTATAAATTCAGTGTTTTTGTTAATCACATTGAAAATAGAAATCTGCTCCCTTAGCAAAAACTTTCCCCTTCCAAGGGCATGCAGACCTGTTTTATTATTGATGCATTCAGAAGCCCCGGCACATTGATTTGTTAATATAGGGTTGGTCACAAGCACTGGGTAAACCATGTTAGTTTGTTATAATTGGGTGGTTCCTGAGTGCCGGGACTGCACCTATTGTTGTTAATAAATTATGTTCATACTGGTCATCATTGTATTGTTACTCATGCACATTATAGCTGCATGCACTAGTTTGTTGTTGTAGGGTCATGTACAAGAACTGGACTTGCTCTCACAGGTTTGTTGTTATACAGCCACTCATAAGTATTTGGGATGGATGCACTGGTTTGTTATTGCAGTGTCCTGTATAAGTGCTGGGTCTCCACACGGTGATTAGTTAGTGTAGGGTCATTCATTAGCACTATGAGCCCCAGTTCCTGCTTCGTTACTGAAAGGATGAAGATAAGGATGGAGGTCCTAGTACTGGCTAGTCAAGCAATAAATGTTTTGAGGCTCCAACAACCTACCAAAGAATTCTGGGACATTTGCATGGAATAAGGAAGTGACACAGAAAGAGGAGAAGGAAATGAAGTTGATTTTGTGTTTTGGTGGGGGAAGAATACCTACAAGTTCCTTTGTCTCTTGAGGGAAAATCTCTTGCACAATCATCTGCCCAAGGACAGGTTCAAAGAAGATGCTGGTGTCAGTCAGACATCTCTTCCAGCGATGGGTACTCAGTACCTAGAAAGAAAGAAAGAAAGAAAGAAAGAAAGAAAGAAAGAAAGAAAGAAAGAAAGAAAGAAAGAAAGAAAGAAAGAAAGAAAGAAAGAAAGAAAGAAATCCAGAAGGCAGACCAACACAGAAAGAAGGACAGTGAAATAGGTGTACATTTGTAATAAGGCTCATAAAAATAATCAAGAATTTAATTTATTTTACTTAGATATTTATCAACTCTAAAAGGCTTTGAGCACCTCAGGAAATATGAACATACAACTCAAGGCTGGTTCACCCTCTTCACATCCATAAATGGTGGGGATTCATATTCTGACTGGGAGTAACAGAAAAGGGAAATCTGTATATTGTTCTCCAACCACTGTCCTTATAGAAGCCTCTCAATGTGGATTGGACTCCATGGAAGCAGCAGGTTGAGGGCTGACTTCCTCCATGTATCATCACTGGAGGTAACTGCAGTCATGTGGATGATGGGTTGGTCTGCACCTCAGAAAGTTTGTGGATGACACTAAGCTAGGGGAAGAGATAAATACATTGGAGGGCAGGAGTAGAGTCTAGAGTGATCTAGACAAATTGGAGGATTGGACCAAAAAAATTGATGAGGTTCAACAAGGACAAGTGCAGAGTCTTGCACTTGGGATGGAAGACATTTGGGATAGAAGACTCCCATTCACTGCTAAAGGCTGAGACAGACTGGCTAGACAGCAGTTCAGCAGAAAAGGACCTGGGAATTACAGTGGACAAGAAGCTGGATATGAGTCACAGTCTGTCATTGTAGCCAATAAGGCTAATGACATATTGGACTGCATTATCAGGAGCGTTGCCAGAAGATTGAGGGAAGTTATTATTCCCCTCTGTTAGGCCCTGGTGATACAATATCTGGAGTATTGAGTCCAGTCCCCCCTCCTCACTACAGAATGGATGTGGACAAATTGGAGAAAGTCCAGTAGAGGACAAAGAAAATGATTAGTGGGCTGGGACACATGACTTAGAGGTTGAGAAAAATGGGCTTACTTAGTTTTCAGAAGAGAAAAATGGGGGAGGGGATTTGATAGCCAAATTCAACTACCTGACGGGGGGTTCCAAAGAGGCTCTAGAGAGGCTGTTCTCAGTGGTGACAGATGGCAGAACAAGGAGCAATGGTCTCAAGTTACAGTGGGGAAGATCTATATTGGATATTAGGAAAAACGATTTCCCTAGGAGGGTGATGAAGCACTGGGATGGGTTCCCTAGGGAAGTGATGGAATCTCCATCCCTAGAGGTTTTTAAGTCCTGGCTTGACAAAGCCCTGGCTGGGTTGATTTAGTTTGGGTGGTCCTGCTTTGGGCAGGGGGCAGCCCTCGGATTCTATGACACTATGAAATAGGAAGTAATGCTGCTAGCTTGACCAGCCTGCCCTTCCACTCAGCATAAGAAACTCTACTTTGAGAACTAGCGATTGGGGGGCAGCAGCCTGTGTAAGTGTCCATGGGAACAGAGCTTTTACTGAGCTGCTGTGGGGCTGGAAAGAATGAAGGGAAGCTGACTCACCATCATAGATTCTCCTGTTTTTCCATGCAGCTTTTCAAACAATTCCCTGCGTGCATCTTGGAACCGGCTGTCGAGGGCTGGGGAGAGATTTCCAACCAGGCAGAGGATCATATAGATTTGTAGGACCCTGGTGGAAAAGACACAACGCTGCATATTTATATGGACCAATACATAGAGATCACTTTAGCCAGCACTAAATGCAGCCATATCTTGAGTAAACTGTGACAACTATTTAACTGTAAACTACAATGCCACTTAATAGCTGAAGACAGAGTGTGATCAACAGTGCCTGTGCCTAGAAGGATAGGGAGAATTTACTTGGAAAAATGTAACAGCCTGAGCTGAACTGGACTGGAAAATAGGCCAGAACTTGCAAAAAGTGCCACAGGACCTATAACGACTACATGGGAAGAGTCCCTCTTGCTCCTGCAGTGCCTTCATGTTTCCTTGGCCACCTCCCATTTGAACACTAAGGCCATTCATATTCAGTTTGACACCTGAAGCTATCACAGTCTCCTCAAAGCACAACGGCTACAGCATCAGACATCAGCTCTTACCTCCCCTTCTGCCATTTTTCAATAAGTTGTGACATGCCTTCCAAATAATCCATGTCATGCACTGCGATTGGCTGGGAGATGTTCAGCAGCACAGGATGGAAGGCTGCTTGGAGACATGGCAGCCAATCAATTGCGGGTGCCTTTTCCTAAAGGTAAAGCCAAACAGAAATGTTGAAATGTGACTTCCAGACTGAATGGGGGAAAACAGGAATGTCTCTTTAGTGCATGAGGGGCCATCTCACCAGAGTGAGATTCAAGGGCACTGAGAGTGGCGGGAGAGGAGTTACCAGGACTGAGAGTGCGGCGAATGGAAGTTGCACCATGGTACCAGTGAAGAACAGCCTCAGCAGGTTGGGGATGCACTGACAGTTCATTAGCAGAGGAGACTAGGTGGCTCCTGCAAGGAGCTCTACACATTCTCCTTCACCTGGAAGTTCAAGACACATACCTGCAACTCTCCAATAGTGGTGTGATAGAACAGCATCCCTCTCTCTCGCCGTTTCTGCAGTGGGGTGACCATCTTCTGGAGGTTGGAGATGAAGGACAAGGCGAAAGAGATTGAGGTGGTGGTGACATTCTGTGGCCCTCCCAGCAGTGTCCCCAGCTTCATCAGGTATGAGAAATACACACGGACAACCTATGATTTAAAAAAAGATCTATGAGTTGGGATCTGAGCCATTCCACCACCTACACATTCAACAATCTCATCCCACCTAGGCCTCAATCCTTCAGGGTTGTAGCCCACCACAAACCATTCCTTTCATTCCCATGTTTCTGTATATCTGCTGGAGCAAGGTTCGCTGAATAGGGTGGTTGGATCTGTGCACAAAATTGAACTATAAATGAGAAATAATAGTTAATGGTTCCTTCACATTTTACTATTGCTTTAAATATAGGGATCATTTTAGCACTGAAATGCCACTACTTTTGGGAAGGGGAGAAGCAAGCTATTTAATTGCATGACTCAGCAGTGAACTACAGTGAACAATGAGATTCTGGCTTCTCTAGTGCCATCTGAAAACAGAGCAACAGGCTAATTTGTTCATATGTTAATAGAAATGAGAGAAGAGTCAAAGGTATTGAAGTGCAATTTGCCAAACCACTTATGTGTTAATTTAGGAATGGTATTGTCTTTGCTTATCTTTAACCTGTTGATTGCTATCACATAACATTATGTATAAAGTGTTTCTTCATGTTAAAATGAGAATGCATGTGTAAACTTCATGAAAATTAATGAAGCATTGTTGTTTGCTATTACATTACCTTTTGCACTGTGTAAATCTCTGTAATTACCCATCAAACGTGATTGAAGCCTTGGAAATGTAAACGAAGAATGCTAACTTCAAAGCAAGGGCCATTGTGTTCCACAATGGAAATTCACTGGCCCACATGGTTGAAAACATTGTTCAGATTGTCTTCTGTGAGAAGAAACTATAAATACAGATTCAAAGGCATAATCTTCATCTCAGGCTATGTCTACACTACAAAGAAAAGTTGGAAAAAGATATGCAAATTGCGAACCACAATTTGTGTATCTTTTTCCACTTTTCTTCTGAAAGAGGCTTTTCCGACATTTGGCCCATCTACACGGGGCCAAACGTCAGAAAAAAACTCTCCTTTGGAACTTCCCTTCTTCCTCATAGAACGAGGTTTACAGGGATGCTGAAAAAACATGTCTGCTTTTCCGAAAAAAAATGTCAGAAAAGCAGATGCATTCCTTGGACCTCCAGTATCCCAGAAAAGCTCTGTAGTGTAGACATAGCCTCAGACTGTTTGGACTTTTACAGAGAAGATGCCAAATGCAGAATGGAGATCCCCAGAAACATCAAGGTTACTTGAAAATTTTTTTGAACTAGCAGATTATTACATCAACTGCTATAATTTTGAATTTACTAACTTTGACTGTTAATGTATTTATTTTCCTGCTTTAACCTCTTACAAATTCTCATTTCTTTTTTAAGCTAATAAATCTTTCATTGATTTACTAGAGAATTGGCTACTAGCATTATATTTGGTGTGAGATTCAAAGTACCAAATTGATCTGGGGTAAGTGACTGATCCCTTGGAATTGGGAGTAACCTAATGTGATGTCATACTTGGTTTATATAACCTTTTATCACAACGTTCAGTTTGTCTTGGCTGCAAGATTGACTGGAGAGTCTAATGACTCCATGGTAAGGCTGGTATAGTGATTCAGGAATGCACGTTTGTTATTGGCTTTCTGAACCCCAATTATGTAGAACACACCACCAGTTAGGAGCTTCTGCCCTGTTTTCTGACAATTAGACCAGGAATTGGCATTAACCAGTTGTGAGCCACTCCAGACAGCAAGACAAACAGAATGGAAATTTTGGACAGAGCAGGCCAGCCTTGCGTTACTACTTGGATTTGCAGGGAATCTTAAACATCCATGGTGGGAAGACAGAACTTTAATTTTCAAGATCTGCTCTGAAAGGCTCACACTGAGTAAATTGCAGCCAACTCAGCAGATCCAGGTGAGAAAGAAGAATAGATGAGATGAATAAATTGGAACTGGATTTTCTGGACTGAATTCAAAAGGGATTCCAAGGACTCTCATCCATGCTAGGATGAAATGTGTCATATTTTAACAACAGGTTACAAAGTCCTAATAAAATCAGGTCAAGTTTTTGGTAACTCATGTTCCCCTTGAACAGCTAGCACATTAAAAACCTACAGCATTCCCTTCCTACACCACAACATAAAAACCTGTTGGCTAAAAATGTTCCAACACTCCATGTTATCCTAATATGAACAAGCCCTATAATACCTCTATGCTCTCATCAAATACTTAACACGTGTGATCATCACTCACAAACTATTCTATACCAGAGGACATTCCTGAACCTAGTAGACATGTTTTTTCCATGCCCCAGGCTTTGTTGTGGTACCTCAGGATAATTTGCTTTCTCATCGTAGTCACTCTCTGGAGGTATCTCAAACTTAGGATGGTCAATCTAAGGAAAGGAGTGAAGGAAAGACACTTGGTTAATATCAGAAACACTAGAGATGGAAAAATAATTTAGTCAGTGACTTTTGTTTCTTTATCTGCTCAAGCACTTGTCTGCAAGCTGTTTATGATTGTCATAAACTGAAAAGTGTCCCCAAACAGTTTCTATGGTTAATTTTTGTCTTGAGCTCATTTGCAAGAAGTCTGTTGTAAGTATTTGACATTTAAATTCAAGCAACATTGGTTAGCTACATATATGATATAATATAATAAATGATAATAATTATATACATGCAATACATAACAATGTTTTAATGTTGTATGAATTTTTATTCAAGAAATGCCAAAATATCTGATTTGAGACTCGGGCCCCACAGTGGTATGCACATAACAAGAGTCAGTCTCTTTGAAGACAGCTTACTATCTAAATAGACAAGGACAGAAAAGGGTGGGAGGAAGGGAAATAACTTTCCCCACATATGCTCCTACTAACTTCAATTTCCAGAAACGAATGATAAAGATTATGTATTTAACAAGTAATAACAATTAAGAAATGAGTGGAAAATGTAAGGACAGGAAGTGGTACAAAAGAGTATCTAGTCTCCAGCCTCAAATAGATGAAGGCTTTAAAATATCAACAATGAATCTCATTATACAGTATTATAAAAGTGGATCAAGGAGGACTCCTTGGCCTCTCAGCTCATGAGGGCTGATGACAAAGCAATTTGTCTCTTATATAATGTTACTGCTGGTTCTGTTCTGGTTAGGAAGTGCCTAATCCTCTTCTAGTCTCACTGAGCTATTAGCATCAATGATACCCTGCAGCAATGAATTACACAGTGCATGGCAAAACAGTTCTTGTGTATTTTAATTGCATGGATTTATAGAAATCATTTAAAGAAGACCATATTACTCATAATATATGCCTTTCCCAGTGGCTTAAGCAGTTATTTGGTCTTAAAGATCCACAAGTACTACTCTGACTGTCCTTTCCCACTGCTATCGCCTTCTGATCCTCTTACCTGGATGATATTGGTGCTGGGGTCCGAAGGGCTAGGTCCCACATATGCTCTGAAGAAGGGGAAAGTGTTGTATTTGCCCATGAGTATCTGCAGGGTCTGGTTAAAATCTGTCTGTTTCCCAGGACCTGTGAAGTTCCAGCCACCAATCTGAGGAAAGAGAGTAATACAGAGAAAAAACTCCCTGACTACCATGGGTCGAAAGAGAAGCAGGAACAGCTGCTGTTCACTGATCTCCACATTCTCCCCCCTACTTTCATGGAACATGATGACTATGACAGCTCAGGGCCAAGATCGTACAAATAATGAAGACAAAAGAAAGGGAAGAACCCAGGAAAATCTTCAAACTCCCAGTGATACTCTGCAGTGACCCTGTCACTTTATGTTTATGGAATGCCATAAAAGTGCTATATAAGGAGGCAGAGGAGGTCAAGAGCATAAGAGAGCCACCTGAAAGGGCAACAGGTGGCAGAAGAAGGTAGAGGAGGAAGTGTCTGCATTTCACTGCCATCCTCAATCAGGGCAGTTAGGACTCGTTTTTCATACTTGGGGATTCAGGTGCTTAAATCCTACCTTACCTCTCATGGGCCCTAAAATTCCATCTCACTTGCAGGGAGTTTCCTAAGCTGCAGGATGGATCTCACTGAATTACCCTGAGTTCCTGTTAAGAAAAGTACATGATGGGAGGAATTCTAAAATTCCAAGGCCTCATGTGTCTGAATGGATATTAAGGTACGAAATAAATATTCAGGGTCTGAAATCAGGCAGCCAAATCAGAGCACCCAGTCCATAGCATCTATTAGGGAAATGATTTTTATTTCTGAAGTACATAGGTATGCTCAGAAATAGTGTGTGAGAGCAACAAGCACCTCATTTATGAGCTCCTTCAAGGGCTGAGCCCCTTCTGCTTCTATCTGCTGGGTATTCATGCAGGAGTGGTAGAAACTTTCCATCACTGACATCTTAGTCACCATTGACTTAGTGGTTGCAAGTGTAATAATGAAGGAGCAAATAACAAAGCAGATTATTACATTCCCCCCATTGTTTTCTATCCTTTTCGGAGAAGAGCTTTTTTCTGAAGTACATAGGTATGCTCAGAAATAGTGTGTGAGAGCAACAAGCACCTCATTTATGAGCTCCTTCAAGGGCTGAGCCCCTTCTGCTTCTATCCGCTGGGTATTCATGCAGGAGTGGTAGAACTGGATGGCTTTCTCCTTGGCTGAGCCTCCAACCTTGACCCGTGGAACCTCTGAGATAAGGAAAAAGACAAAACACTTAACGAGCCAAACATTAACGAAAACCAAGAGGAGGCATCAGGTGAGGAGGTGGGGTTGCTAATAGGTAAATGTTCATCCTGAAGCAGGAACTACAACTTGTTTGATAATCCATGACACAATATAACACTTTCGGAGTGCATCGACAGACACCATGGTCTCCACTAAAGATCAAATCTGGATCTTTCACACTAAAAAGTACAACCCACAATCACTAAAACCAAAGTAGTAGCTTTAGCTGTGAGCAAGGAGGTTTCTGCTAAAGTTTCTAGGGGCCCAGAGAGTAATGAGAGACATGACTCATCCAAACTCTAGCAAACAGAGGGATACAATCACAAGTCAGCACTACAGTTTCCCAAGAGAGTGTTATGTTCCCATTTAGGATGATTATAGCTCTGGTTGTGGTGACAAGGTGATAACACGGGGGTGGCTGTGACAGCACAGCTGTTTGTATTGCTGCCCGACTGGGATGCCTGCTTCACTGTGGTGATGGTATGAGATGGCAGGGAAATGATTTGGAAACAAGAAGCTGAAGTGAGAGACCATGTGATTGTTACACTGGCTCTGGTGAGTGAAAGTGCATTTTCTGGGGAATGTTGTAGAGATGTATATTGGGGGTTGTAGTGACAAGGGAATGGAGTTGTTCCCATGGGTGTGGCTTGATACTGGTGCATTCTAGGGTTCATGGCTGTGGTTGCAGTGACAGAGAGGTACCAAGGGTTGAGTTTGGTCCCTTTTGGAAGTGGCTGCCCTGTTGTATGTCAGTAACCAAAGCTGTGGCTGCAGAGGATGTCCCCCCTCTACCTAAGAGCCTCTTCAGGATCAGCTCGTTTTCTTCCAGCATGACGTCAAACACATTTGAGGACTCCACAGTCAACCTGAGCGAGTGGTTGGTTTTCCAGTTGCCACAAACATAGCCATAAAAATCCTCACAGGGATCTATGGTGGTATTCCTTGTCTCCAGGAGTCTGGCCACAAGTGTGAGACACTCCTTGGTGTTACAGGGCTCTGGGCAAGAAGCACAGACAGAAGCCATTATTAGCAGGATGAAGGAAATTCAAGAAAATACATGGAGAGAGATTATTTTGCAGTTTAATGTGTTGTACAAAATCCTATGCTTTTGAAACAATATTGAATTATCTGGAAAATTATTGCTGACCAGAAGATAAAGTATATCCTATGTTTGACTTTATGCAATGGATGAAAATAGGCACCAAGTAAGGGACACCATTTAAAATAAAGGATGAATGGTCACCCAGGGATAAGGTCCCATCTTGGCACAATCTAATCAACCACAAAGCTGATTATCAACAAACTTCTCCCATTTTCATCTTCTTACCACATTCACTGTGTGTCAGTGAGAGTCTGGCCAAGCAGTGATCTCCCAGGAATATAACTACTACTACAAGGCTAGAGAGTTTAGGACCAGCAGAGAGGAAGAGAAAGACATAGGCAGGGGAAAGGAGATAAACTGAACAATGATATATCAGGAAGCATTTCCCAAGAATGACATCTGTCAGAACTTTTCTACCAGTCCAACTTATGTTAATTTAAAAACTTATTTAATAAAGCCTGTGTAAACTCCTGGATAAACATTCTTATTTTGTTTTACAAGTAACTTATGTTGTTTTCCTGTTAAATTAGTTCTTTGCTGAAATAAGACACTCTCAAATCAAAATAATAATACATATTTAATTAAACGCATGCAAGTTTGTGTCTAGACAAGGCCATAGGGCGGACTTAATGTCTCAAGGTGACTGTCATTTCTTAAGACACAGACACTGGCCTAAGCAAAGTTCTGTATAATATACAAGTAGGCCTCAGACCTTCACTGGTTGGTATGATGTATGTGGGAAAAAGTGGGAGATAGAGAAGATTTGAACGAATACAGCCTTTGTAGTGGTCTGTAGTTAGGGGATTCCTAACCCTTACAGACAGCAGACAGGGGAAAGGTCAGAAGAGGAGTTAAAGGGGGATTTTAACCAAGAGGGAGATAAATTATGGAAGAGGATATGACTTGGCCTCTTCATATATATATATAGATTCTTATTTTGCATACCCACCTAGTGGTTAGAAAAGTGGACTGCTTGTGGATCTGGATTCATAGGCCCTGCTTTCAGGTTTGCCACTGATTGGAGCTCTCTAATTATCTTATTAGTGATAGGGACAGGGACAGAAAGGAGGGACAATTTCAAGCTCCAGTCCCAAATTCCGGACTTATCCCTATTTCTCCTAGGGCACTATAAACAGACCAGTCAGGGATACAGAAGCTGCAGACAAGAGGGAGGGGATGAGAGTAATACAATAGTCTTTAGAAGGTTCAGTGCTACTCTTCAGAGAGGGTGGGCCTGGCCACACTAAGCAGGCAGGATGTTTGGGAGTGAAGAGGTCTCCACATGGTAGGGAAGGCTTGGAGTGGGTACGGTAATGAGTCTTTATTACATTTTATTTATTTCAGACATTTCTGTTTTCCCAAGTCTTAGGAACCAACCATGGCCTGGGCCTCACGCAGATGCTCAACCCAAAAGACAATTAAGGGAGAGGAGAAAGGAAGGGGTCTCACTAGCAGGTTGGGTGCAGGAGAAGGGAGAAGGGAGAAGGACTGAGGTACCCTTAATTGTACCCTTAATTGTACCCAGGCCACAGGTGAAGATGGTGTAGACAAGAAGCAATGCAAACCCAAGGACAGCGCTGAGCATGAGAGCACACAGGAGGAGGCTCTTCCCCCGAAGGTATCTCCCTTTCTTTGCAGCCTCTTTCAGATCCTCCTCACGGGCCTGAAAAGGGGAAGAAAAGAAAAGAGGGGAGATGCAGAGAAAGACATTCCTATTAGAATTACTCCAGTCATATGCCCTCCCAGCTCCACCCATTCTACCAGTATTATATAGAAGAGCTGGGAACTAGGGGCATTAATAATTGTACCAGTTCCTCAGTTGCTTCTAGTTCAACCCACATCTTGCAGAACCCTCAACAACAGTTCCTACACTTCGTCCTTTTCCCCAGCCTTACCAGCTGCAATGATTCTTCTTTTTCTTTCCATTTACCTGACTCCCAGAACTCCTCCCCATCTTGGTACTAACATACTGCCATCCTGTTGTTCATTCTACTTGCATTTTACTCTCTTCCCCCCACTCTGTGCCTGTTTGGTCTGTTCAGACTGCAAACTGTTTGGGGCAGGACTATCCACTACTCTGTGTTTGTACGGCACCCTGCACAATGGGGGGTTGGCTTTGGGAACTACAGATATAAACATAATTTATAATTACCAGTACTCATAATAAGAATAGAGCAAAGATAAGAAGAGGAAACCCAGGTGGGGAAGAGGAATGTGGAGATGGTACAGAAAGAGATGGGTAAGGTCACCGGTTCAGGAGACAGAGCTTCTCAGGGGCTGAACTGAGAGTGTGGTGTGGACTCCTACAGAAACTAAGGTTGTCCTAAACCTCACCACTTTCTGCTCCAACTAAATATTTTTCTTCTGTTCCCCTGTGATGGTTATACATGCTGGGTTTTACTCTGAAAGTGAAGACAGCCCCAGGGAAGGGATGGAAAAGGAGGAAGGAGAATTTGTATGGCTTACAAACAGAGAGTGGGTACGTTTTTCTTTCATGTACTACTCCTTCACTCCCTCCAAGACCATCCCCTGTGATCCCTCCTTCCCACTGTAATATGTTTCTCTCTTTTTCAGGTTGGTAGCTTGATTACAAGGTGTTCAAAATCCAGGACTACCTTGGACTTGGATTCTTTTTAAAGGGTACCTATATCTCCTCCTCAAATGCTGAAAGCTGAGATATAGGAAGACAGCCAGGAAGCAGCAAGATGTGACTTTCCATTTTCTGTGGAATCTATGATTCATATTAGCAGTGCATTAATATTTTCCTTATTAAATAATGCCTCTGTTGAATATCAGTGATTAAAATAAACAAGCAAGTAAGCAAACAAAACAAAAACAGACATTTAGAATGCTCCCATGCCTCAATTCTAAACAGTGCAAGGAAGCTGAGATTTTAGGGTCTGTCAATTCTGTGCACTGAGGGATATGAGAAGAACAAATGTTCCCAAAACACTTCTTATTTCCTAAAACAGTTTAGCTTATCTGTTTTTGATGCTGGGTTTGAAAGAATGGCATCAGACTTTTGAAATAATAACATCCTGTGTCTACTTGGAAGGACATTGATCTCCCTTACTGCTCTCAGAAGAATACAGAACTGGTGAATGCCTCCTTTGCCTCACACTGCTAGATGTATGTGGACCCACACAAACTAACCATCTTTGACCTTAGATCCAAAGAGGATGAAATGTCTCTGGGGAACTATATGGGAAGGGGAGCTACTGATCTACAGACTTTTTCAAATCTCAGTCTCTGGGCAGGCCCAGCCTTAGGGCAAGGCGAGCAAGGCCTGTCTCTGGGTTCAGTCTGGTCTTAGCTCAGGTAGATCTAGATGACACAAAAGGATTTGGCAATGAGCTATGGAAGCTTTTATATCTTATTCCAACCTGGCCTGAAGTTATGAGGCACAAGACAGTTGGATAGCTTGCAGGGGACTGAAGAACAGAGCCTAGCATATGCAGGTTGACTCTTCCAACTTAGCCTCAGGTAAGAGGAATGAATGGGAAAAATGGATGGTTTGGAGGAAATTTAGGGAGGGGACAGAGTGCCGTCACTAGCCATCCAAGCCATCACTAGCTTCAGTTAAAAAAGGAATGGGGAGTCTAAATGGTTTGCAAGAGTCTGAGTGGCTCAGCATTTCCAGTGCTGCTCCATTTTGTGGGGATTGGATATTTGAGGCTGGGCACATGGGAATGAGACATAGATCCTCTTCTCTATAGACTATGTTCTGTGCTGTGGCAAAGGGTGAGGGGCACGCTATTTTCCAGATGTTGCAGCCATTCAGTTAGCCAAAGTTTTTTCTCTGTAGTTTTTAATTCTTTAGACCTCACCCTAATTACCTTGCCTATAAGGATTAAATCCATCAACAGTGGATCCTAGAGAGTCCCCAGGAATTCTAGGGAAGCAGGAAGTGAATTGGCAGGAGAGACAGTGTGTGTGTGTGGGGGGGACTTTTTGAATTAGAAGCAGTGACCTTTCCTTTTCTGTTGTGTGGCCAAAGGAGAATCTCGGAGCTCTATAAGGGTATGTCTACGCTACCCTCCTAATTCGAACTAGGAGGATAATGTAGGCATACCGCACTTGCAAATGAAGCCCGGGATTTGAATTTCCTGGCCTTCATTTACATTAAGCCGGCCGGCGCCATTTTTAAATGCCGGCAGTTCGAACCCCGCCTCCTAGTTCGAATTAGGAGGGTAGCGTAGACATACCCTGAGAAACCAGGGAGCCAGGCATGGAGAATCCAGAGACATCCATACCTAGGGGAGGACTCAGTCTTGAACTACAGATATGTGAGTAGAACAGGGAATATTTAGTCAGACACAATCAGGTTATTTTCGGTTTGTTGGTCTTCTCTGTGCTGAGCACATGTAACTACCCCCTTACACTATAACTTTCCAAGCTGAATCCTAGGAAAGCAATTCTCTGTGTTTTTAATCCTTCTCTCAGGTCCTCTGTAACAGCTAGCAACCAAGTAATGTTTCACTAAGTATGTTTCCTTTTTCTTGTTAATAAAAACCACCCATGATCTTATTCCTGTGTCCTGGAAAGTGTGAGGTTCTGTGTGCACATGTCTAAAACTGCACAGCCAAACTACTAAGAGAAACTAAAGTTCCCTTTTCAGTTGATTCGCAGCACCTGGGTTTTCAAACTCTGCCCAGAGGGAGGGTTAAAAGAGGGTCCCTTACAGGAAGGAATTCCCAAGTGCACCTTCCTGGGTTCTCCAAAGAGTTTTGCACTTGGGTGGTGGCAGCGGTATCCATCCAAGTCTGGAGAATCTGTAACCTTGTAGAGTTTTAACACAGGCCTTAAAGGGCAACGTGTTTTAAAGTCTTTTGTGAGCTCCCACCTTCTGCACTTAAAGTACCAGAGTGGAGAAAAGTATTGTCATATGCTAATACAGATAGAGTTGCCAGGTTTTCAATCAGAACAAGCAGTCGAAAAGGAGCCCGGTCTGCTGCAGACCAGGCTGTTAAAAGTCTGGTTGGTGGCACAGTGGGATTAAGACAGGCTTCCTGCCTGCCCTGGCTCTGCATGGCTCCCAAAAGTGGCCAGTGTCCTGCAGCCCCTAGGTGCAAGGGCTACTTCTGCCCGAGTGCTGGCTCCTCAGGTCCCATTGGTTGGAAACCACAGCCTATGGGAGCTTCAGGGGCTATGCATGCAAGCAAGGGTAGCCTCTGGCTGCCCCTGTGCCTAGAAGTCAGAGGGACATGCAGTCCACTTTGAGGAGCCACCTGAGGTAAGTACCACCTGAAGCCTGCACCCAAGCCCCCTGGTATATCCCTGCCATAGACTTGAGCCCTCTCCCACAGCCCCATACTGCACTCCCTCCAGCAACCCAACACCCTGCCTCAACCCTGAACACTTTCCTGCACCTAAACTCCCTCCAAAAGACCACACATACCCTGCACTCTGAATCCCCTTGGCCCCACCCCAGAGCTTGCAACCCCAGCTGAAACCTGCACCTCCCTGCAATCCAAACATTGTCCCTACCCCAGCTGGGGCACATGATGCATGAAGAGAGGCTGAGGGATCTGGGCTTAAGAAGAGTGAGGGGGGATTTGATAGCAGCCTTCAGCTGCCTGCAGGGAGGTTCCAAAGAGGATGGAGAAAGGCTGTTCTCAGTGGTGACAGATGGCAGAACAAGGAGCAATGGTCTCAAGCTGCAGTGGGGAAGGTCAGGTTGGATATTAGGAAAAACTATTTTACTAGAAGGGCAGTGAAACATTGGAATGTGATCCCAAGGGTAGTGGTAGAATCTCCATCCTTAGAGGTTTTTAAGTCTTGGCTTGACAAAGGTCTGGCTGGGATGAATTAGTTGGGGTTGGTCCAGCTTTAACTAGTGAGTTGGACTTGATGACCTCCTGAGTTCTCATCCAACCCTCTTCTTCTAAGATTCAATTAATTTGGGCCTGATTTCTGTAGGTGAACTTGCATCCATAGACCTGCACTACACCTGCCTTCTCGTCACATGGTAATACTTATGCTCTCAGATTTGGGGTTGAAATCCAGCGAAATACTTTAGCACCTGGTTAAACCATGTCTGTTTAGCAAGGCACTTAAATGTGCATGAAAACCAATAGGATAGAAGTACACACTGAAAGTGAAGCACATTCTAAAGTGTTTTGCTGAACACAGATGGTTTGCTGAACCCTGGCCTGGAAAACTGAAAAGTGTGAAGCATAAAAACAGACTATAAAAAATTAAAATAGTGTATGTTCTCAAATGAATGTGGGTATCTGTATGTAAAACAGCCATTCAATAAACAAAACTCCATTTGTATGAACAGAAAATAAAAATAGGTATGAACACTAACAATGGAGAAGCCATTCAGAATACAAACAAAGGTTTGTGAACTCTACCTTTTGTTGTAGTCAACAGATTTATCTATAGCCTAATAAATATTTTGAAAATTATATTATGTTGATTGGTTACAAATTTGGATCTTACATAATTAAGAAAATTATCACCACTTGCCAAATGTACATTAGAGTATAAAATTTGCAGTTATGTCACTTAATTATATAAGATATCTAATCAGGAAAGAGAAACAATTGTACATAACATACAATTAAGCCAATTAAAGTGTGATTTCTAATTTTCAAACATTTCCAATTGAAGAATCACCTCCACACTAAACAAGAAAAAAACACAACAATTTGTTGAAAAAATTTGCAAATAATTCTGAATAAAGAGAGCATTGGGAATTCTCCCATTTGTGGACAATTTGTGTATACTCTAAAAAAAGGAAACTTATCAGATACATTATTTGTTGTAAATTGTTCACTTAGGTCTCAGCATAACCTCAAAATAGGAACTGGTTTACTATAACCTTTAACTGTGTACAACAACTCCAAGACAAAACTACCAACTGGGATGACTCTGAATTGTAGCTGGTGATTTTAGCAGCAGTTACCTGCTGGAACAACACAAAACGAAAGACTCTTAGAGACAAATGTTAGCAGAGCAGAGGAGACAGATAAATACACAGAGCGAAAACTCCGATATCTTGTCTCATCGACCGCAGGGAAGGGGAGCCAGGAGTAAGTCAGGAAAGTTCAAAATAAAGTTGAAACTCCAACTGCAAAGACCCCTATGCTGGAATCTGAACCCCTAGTGTTGGGCCCTGTGAAAGTGCTGCTGCAGCCCCAACTCTGAAGAGCATTTGAGTCCAGCTGTTCAACCCCCCTTAGGGCACAAAGCAGGGTAAGAGTGAAAGAGAGACATAGAGAGGGAGCACAAGTGAGCTAAATGATATGAATGTGTGACTAGCATTGTTTCCCAGCCTGCTGAGGAGTCCTTATGTCTCTCATTGTGGAAACTGTCCTGCTCTGTGTAGTTACTGCTGCTGCTGTTGCTGCTACTAGGTTGTTTATGCCTTACTCCTCCCCAAGGGCTGGTAAAGAACACAGTTCAGATCACAGACAGTCTTTCCTTCCCACCTTGGCTGAGTGCTCTGAGGAGGAGGAGGAGGAGATAGAGGAAAAGGGCTTTGAAAAACGCCCTTAAAGAAAACAGGAGGCAGAGAGAGAGAGAGAGAGAGATGGACACATTTCTGCAGTTCCCCACCCACCTTCTCCTAACAACCCTTCCTCCCCCAACAGTGCATTTTCACTCTCTACTCAGTTTTGGGCAAGCAAGTTTCCACCACAATCTGTCTGTCTATGTGCCTGAGTTACTCTGTGCACCTGCCCCCTCCCCACCATGCCTGGACACAAATATGCAGTTCTTTTCCCTGCCAACTCATCGCTTCTTCCTTCCTCCCCCTTTGTACCCTGCTTCATTTCAAATGCCTGCTTCAATCCACATCATCACTGCTTGTTTGAACCTGCTGTTCTGGGCCTGAGGCCTCTGCTAACCTCCAAGATAATGAGACTTACAGATTCTCATGCTCCTCCTTCCCCAGAAGGTGCAGAAATCCAGATGTGCTTCTCCTGCTGCTTCCACAACAGCACCAGAATCTATTTCCAGCAGGAACAGAAATGGAATTCTGATTCTCTTCCTTTTGCTCTCAGAATCCACTCCAGAGAGTACAAAATAGCAACAGCCCTTTTTCCCAAAGAGCATTCCTGGGAAGATTTAAGAGGGTGGTTCCTCCAATTGGAGAAACCAGGTGATGGGGTTCATGAATGCAGTGGGATTCTAGGATATCTCCCTAAAGACCTCTAAAACTCAGTGGCAAGATCCTTCTTCACCATTGCACTCTGATAGACACTCCAATTTTATAATTAGATTCCTTATAAAGCTGAAGCCAATTACTTGTACCTCTTGGGTCACCCCTAGTCATACATCACCATATCCATATTATGGGTTTGACTAGCCTGGAACATGGAGATCCTTGTAGAAGTTTTCTTATGTGTATGTGTGTGCGTGCTGTTTTACCCCATGTCATCCTCAGGTCACTCTCCATTTTACAAATGCTCCTTTGAATATGTAACTAGTTATGTATGAGAAAATAGCTCGTAGGTCACCCCAAATCAACTTTCTGTGACTGAGGGCATCATGCCCAAAGATGTTCAAAACCATTTGCAGATGCAGGGACACATGACTTGGTATGACCTGAGAGATGTTTTGTCAGACCCCCACTTACTTCTTCAAATACAGAGCCCTTGAACACTGAACCAGGATTCTGAATAAAGAGGTAGGACTAGGTAACCCACTTCAGCCTCATAATAGCTTTATTTTGCGCAGCCTCTGTCATCCCTGAGCCGCAAAAGCTAGTGCCTTCACCTAGTGTAGGGAGAATAACTGTGAAATGGGCAAGGTGGGGGGCCCTGGCTTTGCACTCCCAGAAGGGGTGGGGCTGGGGCAGCCAGCTCACAGCACTACCCAGAATGTGGCATGCCTCCCCAGGCTCTCATAGCCACACGGGGTGTGCCACACAGAGCTCCAACTGTGATTTAAAGGGCATGGGGCAAGGCTGTTGCTGTTGTGAATCATCAGGCCTCAGGCTACTGCCCCCTTTGCCCCATCCCGTTGAACTGGCCTACACAAGGGGATCACATCCAGTGCTGGATAAGTGCACTGCTGTCCCTATACAAGATCTAAGATTCGCCTCCTAGACCTATCCATCAGTGATTTCACCTCCAGTGATTAATTAGTGAGCAGAAACAAGGACTCTCCTTTCAGTCTGATCAGCTTTACATTTAGACACTGGAGGGCAGGATCAGCTGATACAGATTCTTTGAAAAACTCCACATCACCCAGTAGGAACATTCTTTCCAATCACCTCTGACTTTCACTTGGGTTTGGAATCACTATTTTTGGCTTAATGAGTGAGGGAAGAGAGTGAGGTTAAACCAGTGAGGGTAACCCCCTCCATTAGGACTTATTAAGTTCTGCTGCTCTTTAGTCAGAGTCAGTATAACAACATTTCTTTATCCCTGTCTCCAAGATTAACATGATTTTAACCCAAAACAGCTAACATCCATCACTTTGGCAAATCATGTCTCTGCTGACCAGGCATTTCTTTGCACATACTGTATACTCCTGAAGTCTCTGCCCCCAGTTCCACAATATAGGACAGAAGAAAGCACATTCAGACAGTTTACCTAGCTAGCTACTTCAGTGCTACTTGTCACTGAGGTACCCAAGAGACCCCTAAACTTAAGGAATAAAGTAATATCTACCTCTCCTTGCCCAGTCAGCACTCTTTGGGGCACAGACCTTATTTCCTTTTTTGGATGTGAAGTGCCTAAAATGCTTTGGGTTTAAAACAAATTGGTTTGCTAAATAGGATCAATTCTTCTGCTGTTCAGCAAACTAGATTTAGCTTTTTTGACCCAGACGTTATGATGCTAGCATAGGCCCTGTCTGTTAAAGAACATTTTATTATTTCCTTTCCTTGAAGTTTACCCACACCCTTGAAAAACAAGTTTGATAAGTACATTGAAAGCTCAGCTGGAGGAATAGCTGCCAACAAAAACCATCTGAAAATATACCCACAAAGAAAAGGAAGCAGAGATCCAGCTTTCAGATATCTGACAACTTTGCAGCTTAAATTCAGCCAGAGGTGTCTGAAGTGGAGCTCTGGAAAATACTTTTAAATTTACAGGGCAGAAGCCCTGAGCCCCAGTGGCTCCCATATCGCTGAAGCCCTGAACCCCAGTGCCCCTGCTATGGGGCTTAAGCCCTGGGACACCATGAACTGCAGCTGATACCCAGCATCCTGTCACACTGCAGGGTAGAAACCCTTAAACCCCACACCCACCCTGTGCAGGGAAGAACACCTGAGCTCCCCACCCCAGCTCAGCGGTTGAAGGCAAGGGCCCTGAGTGTGCCCCCATCTCTGCTGTATCCTGAAGATCTTACAGCATGTCAGGGGCAGGGAGAGGGGAATGGGAAACAATTTATGAAAATATAAGCCCTGCAATTTTGATTTAAGTCCTTGGGAGTTATTGTAGCTCAGACCCTGTAAAAATGAGGCCCCAGACACATTTGTTTTTAAAATTACTAAGAAACTTGAATTGGCCAATAGTCAACACTGGATCAAGGGCACCATTTTGGGAGGTTACAGGGGCTACTGCTGCCCCCTTCCTTCCCCAGCTGGGAGTAAGAGCAATGCACATAAGCTCCTCGCTCCCTGATAGAGAGGGGAAGGGAAAAAAAGAGCAAACAGTGTCCCGGCACATGTGGCTGTAGCTCCTCTGTCCTCCCAAAATGGTGCCCTTGGATTGGATAATATCAGTGAAAGCATGAGACTGGAGATAATTTAAGTGAATCTCTTAAGAGATAATAGGGCTGATACATTTAAAAAACTATACCCTACCAATGGGAAAAAACAGCAAGCAAATGGTCTGGTAGCACTTTATAAAGTAACAAAACATGAAGATGGTATCATGAGCTTTTGTGAGCACAGCCCAAATCTCATGATACCATCTACATGTTTTGTTAGTCTTTTAAGTGCTACCAGACCATTTGTTTGCTGTTTTTTTCTGTAACATACTAACTCAGCTACCCCCTACCAATGGGAGACTTTATTCCTAGTAGAATGCCCTGGCTATGTCTTCTCCCTGGTACAGCATCCAGACTGCTTGAGATGACTATGAGCTCAAGGCTAATCTTCAGCAGTTCTTGGACAGGAGACCTCCATGGAGATCTAGGGTGCTTCAGGAAGTAGTGACATCCCTATCTGTGCTCACTGCAATGACTAAGCATGGCAACAGAGGGTGCTGTGCCGCACCACTGTGGGTGACTCAATTTGGGGTGCTTAATGGCATTTTTTCTCCAGGAGTAGAGGCTCTTAAGCCCAGTGTCCTTTCCAAATTCCAAGTACCTCTCTCAATTGTCCATATTTCTACTGGATAGTGGAGTCTTCTGCTCTTCATCCTCTATAATGTTGTGTAGTGTTATGGTGTGAGTTTAAATAGCTGCGGAGATCTGCATGGAGGAAGCACTGCGGGAGTGATGCCTATACTGCCTATACAGCCTGCAGAGAGCTTGGGCTCCTTTGAGAGGAAATGTGCTGCGTATGCGAAGTTGTTTTTGCTGCTAACTCATGAATTTCTTTGAAGACACTTTATCAGCTACAGAAAGAGCAGACAAAATGCTTTTCCCTGGAAACTTTCTCTTGGTCACGGGTGTCAGAGGTGTCAGAGGGGGAGACATCACAGGAACATTTTATCAGCTGACTTTTTTCTTATCTGTGAGCTGCAGAAGACAGCTGGATCCCTTGAGGCCTGGGGTTGAGACAGGAGTTGTAGCAGTGCCAGTATTGGCTTTCTTCCTTTTTCCTGTACAAAAATGTTACATTTAATAAGGTTTTGCATTCCTTTCTTCTCCCATTACCTCTCCTGGCCCCCAGGATGCAGTGCAGGGCTGTCCTGCAAGCAAAATAAACTATGGCCACATATTGTGAATTGTGCTTATGTAACACACATCCTAGAATACTCTCTGTTCTTATGCAACAATATACCTTGTCCTCATCAGGGAAAAGGCTTGTGTCCATTGGCATGAAGGGACAGGTAGCAGAGATACAACAAGGCTGTGTCTACACTGGTGCGATCTTGTGTAAAAGTGGCCACTCTTGCGCAAAAACTTGCTGCCTGTCTACACTGGCAGCTTATTCTTGCGCAAGTAAACTGACATTCTAATGTATGAAATCAGGGCTTCTTGCACCAGAACTCTGACGCTCCCACTCAGGAATAAGCCCGCTTGTGCAAGAACTCTTCCAGAAGAGGGCAGTGTAGACAGGCAACATGAATGTCTTGCACAAGAAAGCCCTATGGTTTAAATGGCCATCAGAGCTTTCTTGCGCAAGAGAGCATCTACACTGTCATGGATGCTCTTGCGCTAAAGCACATGCCAGTGTAGAAGCTTTCTTCTGGAAGAGTTTTTGCAGAAGAACTCTTCCGCAAAAGAGTTTTTGCGTGAGAATGCGCCAATGTAGATGTATAGTTTTACCAAAGCACAAAATCATGAATTTGCTGTAAAAATAAGAGATTTATTGTTTGCTTGTTTGTTTTTAAA